CGTGTAATTTTCAAGTCACTAGCTCTGGGACTTGAACCACTCAATCAGCCATGTGGGATCCAGTCACCTTAACCTCTGCACCACTTGCAGCCCAATAGCCATAAATTCTTAGACTAGGAATTGCTAGCTCAAAAGCTCTGCACCTTTATTTATTTTAACTTTATTTTAATTTGACCAGAGAGGGACAGAATGAGCAAGAGAGAGAGAAAGTGAGAAAGTAAGTCACTAGGTCTGGGACTTGAACCATGGTCGGCCATGTGGGAGTCCAGTGCCCTTAACCACCATGCCACTTGCCATCCCTGCACCTTTATTTTTTTTTTTTTAAGAATTATTTTATTGGGGGGGGGCGGCAGGTGGCGTGGTGGTTAAGAGCACTGGATTCCCATGTGGCTGACCGCGGTTTGAGTCCTGGACCTGGAGGCTTGCTTTCTCGCTTTCTCTTTCTCTCTCTCTCTCTCTGATTCTCTCTGGTCAAAATTTAAAAATGATAACAACAAATGGAAATTAAAAAAAAAAAGAATTATTTTATCGGGACCAGCAGTTACATAATGGCCATGTCGCTGGACTCTCACGTAGTCGACCATGGTTTGCGTCCTGGACCCGGTGGCTTAAAACTTACGCTGGGCGCGTGTGTGTGCGTGCCCAAGATCCTGAGAGGAGAATGGAGGAGAAGGGATTGTGGCGTGGCCATCCCCCCTGGGGAGTGGTGATTTCTCGCTTTCTGTCTCTCTGTCTCTCTCTGTCTGTCTGGTGAGCGCATGCGCCCTATAGCAAAAGCCTCTCAAAAAAAGAATTATTTAACTTTATTCATTTACTTATTTATTTAAATTTGACCAGAGAGAGGGAGAGAGAGAGAAAGTGAGAAAACAAGCCGCCAGGTCCGGGACTTGAACTGCAGTCAGCTATTTAGGAGTCCAGCACCCTTAACCTGCTGGCTCCTGCATGCACCTTTATTTTTTAAAAATCTCATGATTGGTCAGCAGGGATTCGAACTCTGGTTGGCCATGTTAGACTGGCTTCCTCTGTATAGCACCTAGTAGCTGCACCATGGGACTGGCCCATCCTTTAATTTTGATGTACCCCATATCAAAACGTATACAAAATAACTTACCCTGTCACTACCAAGGCTGTACTCTCCCCCTTGCTCATACAACACATTGAACTTTTTGATTTTTGCCAATTATTCAACAAGTAAAGCAAGTTTTTTTGTTTTGTTTTGTTTTGTTTTTTGAGATTTTTGCTATAGGATGTGTGCACTTGCCAGAGAGACAAAGAGAAATCACCCCCAAGGGGGATGGCCACGCTGCAACCCCTTCTCCTCCACTCTCCTCTCAGGAGTTTGGGCACACACGCACACGTGCCCAGTGTGAGTTTTAAGCCGGTGGGTCCACAACTTCAATCATGGTTGACTACGTGGGAGTCCAGCAACCTAACCGCTACGCCACCTGCTGGTCCCAGAATGAAATATTTTGCTGCAGCTTTTCTTTATAATTCTCTTGTTATGAGACTGAGCATCTTTTCATATGTTTAGAAGTCAGTTATTTCCTCTTCTGTGGGCTGTCTGCGCCCTTTGCCTGTGTTTAAAAAAGTGCATTGTTTATCTTTCCTTATGAATGTGTTGGATTTCTCCGTGAACCAAGGAACTTGACCCTTCGTCTGCTAGATGTGTTCCAACATCTTTTTCCCTACACTTTCATCTGTTTGAGAACAGGGACTAGAATTTAAACCTCTTTATGTTTTTATCAGTAATTTATTGTATAGTACACATTTGTATACAGACAAATGTCTGCGGAGATGAAGTAAAAAGAAAAGGTAGAGATTTGGGACATTTCGGAGTGACCTAATCCGGTCTACTTCATCCTCTTGTCTGAAGTTCGAGCCCTTCATTTTTGGGTCAGTTGGGACTAGGTAAAAGCAGGAGCTAACTCTGGGGAAAACACTCTTTAAAAGTGCTCCTCCCAGGGCTGCCAGGTGACGTGGTGGTTGGGGCACTGGATCCCCACATGACCAACCACAGATCGAGTCCTGGACCTGCTGGCTTAAAAATCATGGTAGGGGGACCAGCAGTTAGCATAATAGCTATATCGCTGGACTCCCATGCAGTTGACCGCGGCTCGAGTCCTGGACCCGGTGGCTTTAACTTACGCTGGGCGCGTGTGCGTGCATGCCCAAGATCAGGAGAGGAGAATGGAGGAGAAGGGATTGCGGCGTGGCCATCCCCCCTGGGGGGTGATTTCTCGCTTTCTGTCTCTCTGTCTCTGTCTTTCTGGTGAGCACACGCGCCCAGAAAGAAAAAATAAGAAAAAAAAAAAGAAAATATAAGAAACTTCTCCAAAAAAAAGAAAAAAGAAAAAGAAAATCATGGTAGGCATGTGTGCAAACCCAGGATCCCAGGAGAAAAACGGAGATGGCATGGCCATCCCCTGGTGGGGCGATTTCACATTCTCCTTCCCACTGTCTTTGTCTCTCTCTCTCTCTCTCTCTCTCTGGTGAATACACACGCCCTAAGGGAAAAAAAAAAAGAAAAAGAGAAAAAAAAACTTTAAAAAATGCACCCCTCCTGGGGCCAGCAGGTGGTATGGTAGTTAGGCCGCTGGACTCCCTTGGCCAGCTGTCGTTCAAGTCCTGGCCTGGTGGCTGGCTTCTCACTTTCCATTTCTCTCTCTCCAGTCAAATTAAATAATAATAATAATAATAAACAAAATTAAGCAGATTATTCTTTTTTTTAAAGGTACCCCTCTCCACCCTCAGTGAAACACTAGTATCATCAGAATCCATGCAAGGGTCAGTAAACAAAGCCCAGCAAACATGTAGGCACCAAAAAGAAACGGTCAGCAGCACCATAGTCAAGGTCAAGGCACAGGACAGTCTTCCGGAGACCTCTGTCCCCTCTACCCGGTACAGTGACTCCGCCTACTTAGGCACTGGGGCTGACATTTCCCTCTCCACACACTAGAGGGCGCGACTGCCTGCATGGTCACCACCACTAAAGGCAGGCATGTCATTAGCTCCTGGGAGTCTGTGATGCTGCAGATTCAAAGTCAACTGGAGCAGGGGTTGGCAGAGCTTCTGTCTTTTGCCTGCACCCTGAGAGCAGAGAAGTCTGGGAGAGCAAGCGTGGGGGCTTTGTGGCAGATGGTGGCCTGCCTCCCATGAGGGCCCATGCAATGGGACTTCCCCAAACGTAGGCAGGAAATTCGGATGGTGGCAGCCTGGGAAACCCAGTAGAAGTACACCACCTTCTCACGTCTGGCTCGAGTCCTCTTTGGTGAAGCATTCCTGGGTCACCTAGTCTAAGATGCTTCTGGACTCACATCACCGATACTGTGTGGGCCAATATGGTACCAGAGAGGCTTATACTGCCTGGTAACACCAACCATATACCATGCCTCACTGGACTGTCACACAGCCCTAAGCATTACCTATATTGAGCGAGAAAAAACTAAGTCCTCAGAGGTTTTCCCGCGTCCCACAGCAGTGCCATTTTGCAAACCCAAGTCTGTCTGTAACCAAGGTCTTTAGTTTCCCAGTGGGCTATTACTCACAGGCTGTTCTAGCAAGTCCTAGCCCTGGGCTGGCAGAGGTTGGCCACAGTCTTCTTCATACATCCTAGCAGCATTCGGTATGTAGAAGGTGCTCAACTAATGCTTGTGGAGTGGCCTGGATGGCATCTAGCAAGAGCCAGCTCATGGGACCAGCAGTTAGCGTAATGGCTATGTCGCTGGACTCCCACGTAGTCGACCACAGTTCGAGTCCCAGACCCGGTGGCTTAAACTCACGCCAGGCGTGTGTGCGTGTGTGCCCAAGATCCTGAGAGGAGAATGGAGGAGAAGGGATTGCGGCGTGGCCATCCCCCCGGGGGGTGATTTCTCGCTTTCTATCTCTCTGTCTCTCTCTGTGTGTCTGGTGAGCGCACGCGCCCTATAGCAAAAACCTCTCCAAAAAAAAAAAAAAAAAAAAAGTCAGCTCTGGAAGCTTTCCTAACTCCCAGGAGGCCTGGACCCAGCAATCTCTTGGGGACAGAATAGGCCTACTCAGGATCAGTTTGGAAAGAAAAACCTTGAATCTGGGGACTCTTTTACATTTTAACTCCCCTTCCCCAAATGTGTCCGAGCTGGGACCAGCATTTAGCGTAATGGCTGTGTTGCTGGACTCCCATGTAATTGACTGTGGTTCACGTCCTGGACCTGGTGGCTTAAAACTCACGCCAGGCGTGTGTGCGTGCGTGCCCAAGATCCCAAGAGGCGAATGGAGGAGAAGGGATTGCGGCATGGCCATCCCCCCTGGGAGGTGATTTCTCGCTTTCTATCTCTCTGTCTCTCTCTGTGTGTCTGGTGAGCGCACGCGCCCTATAGCAAAAACCTCTCCAAAAAAAAAAAAAAAAAAAAAAAAAGTGTCCGAGCTGTCGAGAAGAGGTTGCATCTGTTCATTACTTAATCATGTAACGAGAATTTTTGAACCCTTACTACTGCCTGAACACACTAGTGAGAAAAAAGACATATCCCTACTCCGTGGAAATTACAGGTGGGGAGAGGTGACTGGTAATCAAATAATTCAACCAATAAATGCTCATTTGTGGCTCTGACAAGCGTGATGAAGGAACTGCCACTAGACGCTGTAAGAGGCAGGTCTGACCTACTGGGGCAGGCAGTGCAGCCTCTTCTGAGGGAGCTGGGGCTGGAGCTGCGCTCCGAAGTTAGGGGAGGAGTCAGGCCTAGAGCGTAGACAAGAGTCGGGTGGCGGTGATGGCCTCCGAGGTGAGTAACCATGAATGATCGAGCACGTTTATAAGGAGCAGAGAGGCTCCAGGGCTGGCAGCTTATTCGTTTTTTTCCCTGCCTCTGTGCGAGTGCGTCACGCCTGGATGGAGCGGCCGCAGTCTCCCAGGTCCCATCCGGGGTTGACGTGCTCCTGGTGCAAGCCCAAAATAGCCGGCTCCGCCCATCTCCCGGCAGCCCTTGCACCCGCCCCCCCAGGCATCCCGCCCCCCCGCCCCCCTGGCCAGACGGTTCCCGGCGGGGGGCAGGGGCGGGGCGCCGCAGGAGGCCAGGGACTCCCCGCGGAGGAGGTGCGGCCGAGGGCGCAGGTCAGGCTGGGGGGTCCCAAGCCGGGCTGCTGGAGTTGGGGGGCTCTGGTAGGGCTCCGCAGGCCTGGGCACGGAGATAGCCCTTGGTGCCAGCTGCGGGGGCAGATAAGGCTGCCGCAGGGAGCACAGGCAGAGGGCGCGCGCAGAGCCCGGTGGGCTCCGCGGTCACCTCAGAGCGACCCCAGCTACTCCGGGGCTTGCAGCCTCAGGCAGGGACTGCAGCTCCTCTCGGCCTGACTCTTTCTCTCCCGCAGCGCAAAGAAGGCCCGCCCGACGACTGACGAGTTGCCATGGCATCCTACTATGAGATCCTAGACGTGCCGCGCAGTGCGTCCGCTGACGACATCAAGAAGGCGTAAGTGCCTCCGCTGTGCGTCAGAAAACCCTCGCCCTCCGCTCTTGGCTCCGTGGCTTCTTGCAGAGTGACACCTGTAGGTGTCTAAGGGAACCGGATCCGCAGAGTGACACCTGTAGGGAGGAAGGAGGTCCCTGGAAAAGTACAGGAGAAGGTCGGGAGAGTGAAGTTCCGGGGGGGCCCGCGCTGTGGGCTCTTCTGCAGGGTCCCCCCTTCCCTGCCGCTCCCCCTCGCTCCTCCCGCACCCCACCCCCTGGGTTAGGGCTTTCACAGGGCGCAGTGCGGAGGTGCTCAGGCTCTGGAAGGAGCAGGGGTGCTGTCCCTGTCCCCTTCATGGCCACGTGTGTCTGCAGCCTTGGTGGCCTGGTCCATTGAGCCCCAGGGCCAGTAAGGGGGGGTGGCATTCCCACTCTCATATTGTCATCAGCCCAGATGTCTAGTCCCAGCACTGGCCAAAGAGGGAGAGGAAGGGAGAGCCTCCCCTGAGACACTGCAGCCAGGGCAGCCCGTGCAGCCCAGCAGGGGCAGCCAGGGCAGCCGGGGCAGCGGGGGTGGACTGGTGGAGAGGACCCCATGCACTGGGCGAAAATGGCCAGTTCCCTCAGGGGAAAGGCCTGCGTTTGTCCCCTGACCTCCCCTCTGAACCCTCTCCTGCAGGTATCGGCGGAAGGCTCTCCAGTGGCACCCAGACAAGAACCCTGATAATAAAGAATTTGCAGAGAGGAAATTTAAGGAGGTGGCTGAGGCCTATGAAGTGCTGTCAGACAGTAAGGCGGGGTCGGGCAGGGCCCAACACATCACCCCCTACTCAGTGGCCCATCTCACCCCTTCCCAAAGCCGTATCTGTCACCCTGGTCTCTTCCATGCCGTTTCCATCCTGGCATGGAAGTGTCCTGGTCCCAGGGATGGCTCAGTGTCCGCTCCCCAGGGCCTGGGAGGTCCCTACCTGGGAAGGAAGCAGGGCAGGTAAACCGATAGGTACCCGGGCCTCTGCACCAGGCTCTGCTGGGTGTAATCACCATGCGCATCACAGCCGTCCTGCCAGGCGGATTTTGTCACCCCGTTTTATAGCAAGGAAGCTGAGGCCCAGAGAGGTGAAGTAACTTGAATAGAGAGCTGGAATATGAATCCAGGTCTGGCTTTTATTCATTCATTTACTTGTTCAAAAAGTAGTCACTGCATGCTCTAGGTGCCAGGCACGTGGGGCCTGGTGGGAGGCAGTGGAGCACAAGCTGCCACTGTCCTCTTCCCGAGGGTTTGTTGTATTCTGGTCGGGGGAGGCTGACGTTAACCAGGTAGGCACCTAGATGAGGTTGGAGACCGTGGAGAGTATTCCAAAGGCAGCCTTGGGGGATGTGATAGGGAATAACAGGCACCTGGTTTTTGATGGCCACAGAAAGACCCAGAGGAGGTGACCATCAGGCTAAGCCCTGACTAATGACCGTTAGCTAACGTGTTGAATACCTACTATGTGTCAGACACTAGGCTGAGCAGTTGGCATGGATTATCTCATTTCGTCTTTGCAGCAACCCTGTAGGGGAGGTGCTGTTAGGCCCATTTGACAGATGAGAAGGAGCCAGCTGTGTGAAGGTCTAAACTGCTGCTAAAACTCATAGCGTGTCTCCCGGACACCCCGCTGCTCCCTGTATGTCAGTCCCTGGGGTCCCAGCCTGGGAAGATAGGCCGTCGTCCTGGAGGGAGGGAGAAATGATCTGGTCTCTCTTCCAGAGCATAAGCGGGAGATCTACGACCGCTATGGCCGAGAGGGGCTGACAGGGGCAGGTAGGTGGAGCTTGGGGCCCAGGGAAAGGAAGGGAAGGGAAGAGAAGGGAAGGGAAGGGAAGGAGAGGGGGTCAGGGAGGAGGTGGGAGAGAACAATGGATGGTGTCTCTGAAGCTCTGCTAGGCTCTCGGGGGAGGTCCTTGGCTCTGGGCACAATGCACACTGACGGCCCCTCATCCTGCCCGTCCTCCAGGAACTGGCCCATCTCGGGCAGAAGCTGGTGGCGGAGGTGGGCCTGGTTTCACCTTCACCTTCCGAAGCCCTGAGGAGGTCTTCCGGGAGTTCTTTGGGAGTGGAGACCCTTTTGCGGAGCTCTTTGGTGAGTGGACCGACTGGCTCAGCTTCCTCCTCCAGGCCTGTACAGGAGGCTGAGAGGAAACTCAAATTCCACCGACAAGATTTTTGTGTCGTGGGGGTGGGGCCAGTGAGAACTGGGGCAGAACTTCGCACCCGCCAGAACCCTCAGGACTCAATAGTGGCACTTCACAGACTGGCCTTATTACATGACAACAATGATACATTGTTAGACTTCCACAATAACAGCCGAGAAAGCAGGACCCAGAGCATCATGTGACAACATAACAACATGACACATGACAAGAGAAATCTTTTTTTTGGGGGGGAGAGATTTTTGCTATAGAATGTGTGTGCTTGCCGGAAAGACAGAGAGGAAGAGAGAGAATGTGGGAAATTGACCCCCAACGGGGATCTTGGGCACGCGTACACACACACACACACACACACACACACACACATACCAGGCATGAATTTCAGACCTCCAGGTCTGGGACTCAAACCATGGTCGGCCATGTGGAAATCCTGTGCCTTAACCACCATGCCACCTGCTGGCCCCCAGAAGCCATCTTTTGAATGAGTCGTATGTGCCACACCATTTATGTCCCCTCATATTCCAGTGACCCATGAAAACTGGCTAATTTTGTTCCCATGTATAGATAAGAAGCCTGAGGGACAAATAATAGATTAGAGTCACAGAGCGAATGGCAGTGTCTGCCTGTCACCTCATCGTGCTTCCTTGCCTGTACTGAAGGAACTCTGTCTTCCCTCCCTCTCCCCATCTTTACTTTATTATTATTTTTAAAATTTGCTGTCAAGCATGTGTGTTTGCCAGAGAGAGACAGAGAGAGGGAGAGTGAGAAAACATCCCCCAGGGAGGATGGTCACGTCACAATCCCCTCTCCAACGTTCTCCTTTCCACGCTCACGGCATGCTCCCCAAGCCTCTGGTGCAGGACTTGCACCACATAGTTGGCCACGTGGGCTCCAATCACAGTGGCCCCTTTTATTCTTTTTTTTTTTTTTTTTTGTGGACAGAATTAACCACCAAGCATTTTCATGTACAATGGTAAAAGGAATTTAACTTGTAAATAAATCCAACCAGAAATGGAAAAAGAAAAGAAAACAATGAAAAACGGACCCAACTGCTTAGCAGTTTATATTTCTAGACTTGAAAGCGGCAGTCACACATTTTGGGGGAAACCCCTTCCCTGGATGACTGTTCCTCTGCTTCCATGTTGCAGATGACCTGGGTCCCTTCTCGGAGCTTCAGAGCCGGGGCTCCCGCCCCTCAGGCCCCTTCTTTACCTTCTCTTCCTCCTTCCCTGGGCACTCTGGTAAGTGGCATCCCCGCCCATCTTGGCAGGTGGAGTCCTATAGCCCTGAGCGGGGTTGCTACTTCAAGCCTCACTCCTGTACCTGGGGCCCTGCCTCCAGGTAGCTCTGTGGGGGGCCCCGCTGGGTGGCTGTTGGTGACTGTCGCAGGCATCTTACGGCCTCCATCTAACAGCTTCTTCCCTCCCTTTGTCCCGACCCCAGATTTCTCCTCCTCCTCTTTCTCCTTCAGTCCTGGGGCTGGTGCTTTTCGCTCTGTTTCTACGTCCACCACCTTCGTCCAAGGTCGCCGTATCACCACACGCAGGTGAGGGCTCCTGGGACTATATAGGGGGCAGGGGTGTAGGGATGAGGGGTTGGAGGTGAGACCCATGTACCCATACAAAGGCCGCCCTGGTGGGCTGGCCGCATAGCCTAGTGGTAAAGGGAACCAGATCTCACGTGGTGGACTGTGGTTTGAATCCCAGCCCTGGTGGCTTGAAAAACACACCTAGTGAGGGGGCATGTATGCCCCAAATCCCTCCAGGATGGAGAGATAGAGAAGGGATCAAGATGTGACTATGCCCCATAGAGGGGTGCCTCCCTTCCGCCCCAGGGAGTGCATGTGCCCTCTGGCAATTTAAATAAAGTCTTAAGGGCCAGCAGATGGTGTAGTGGTTAAGGCACTGGGCACTTCCACATGACCAACAACAATTTGAGTCCCGGACCTGGTGGCTTGAAAATCACAGGCACAGGGGCATGTGCGTGTGTGGAGAATGGAGGAGAAGGGATTGTAGCATGGTCATCCCCTTTGGGGTGGTATTTCTCACTTTCTCTCTCTCAGGCTCTCTTTCTCTTCTCTCTCTGGCGAGTGCACACGCCCTATGGCAAAAACCTAAACATACATCCATCCATACATCAAGTCTGCCCTGTGCCTGCGGCAGCCAGAGCCTGGGCCAGCACCTGCAAGGTCCCAGCGCTGCCTGCTAACTGAGCTGCACTGTCTCCCACAGGATCATGGAGAACGGACAGGAGCGGGTGGAAGTGGAGGAGGATGGGCAGCTGAAGTCAGTCACAATCAATGGTGAGCAGATCCGCCTCCCAGCCCTGGCAGGAAGCCCAGCCCCAGCCCCGAAGGCCCCTTCACCACTGCTCCTCCCTAGCTCCCTTGTGGCTGGGAGGGAATGGCAGTCACGGGCCAGACTGGAGGGTCAGAGACGGCGCTCCTGGGAACTGGGCAGAGGAGTCCAGTATTTGCAAAGCACTATTCTGTTCGTAAAGCACTGCGCATATAACAATAGCTCCTGTATTTTTTTTTTAAAGATTTTTCTGTAGGGCATGTATACTTGTCAGAGAGACAGAAAATGAGAAATCACCCCGCAGGGAGGATGGCCATGCTGTAATCCCTTTTCCATCCTCCTCTTGGAATTTTGGGCACATTGCACATGTGCCCAGTGTGCATTTCAAGCTGCTGGGTCTGGCACTCAAACAGTAGTTGGCCATGTGGGAGTCCAGTGCCTTAACCACCATACCACCTGCAGCCCGTTTCTACCCCGTTTTTTTTTTTTTTTTTTGAGAGATTTTTGCTATAGAGACAAAGACAGACAGACAGAAAACGAGAAATCACCCCCCAGGAGGGATGGCCACGCTGCAATCCCTTCTCCATTCTCCTCTCAGGATCTTGGGCACGCTCGCACATGTGCCTGGCATGAGTTTAAGCCACCAGGTCTGAGACTTGAACCGCAGTTGACTACATGAGAGTCTAGCGACAGCCATTATGCCAACTGCTGGTCCCCATTTGCCTCCCCCGCCCGCCCTCCCGCTCCTGGTATTTTTAAAGCATCCAGGAGAATAAGTAAGGCAGGTGGTATTCGCCTAGGTTGTTTTTTGTTTTTGTTTTTAGAGAGAGTTTTGCTTTAGGGTGCATTCACTCACCAAAAGACAGAGAGAGAGAGAGAATGCGAGAAATCACCCCTGAGGGGTTGACCACACTTCAATCCTGCTTCTCCATTCTCCTCGTCAGATTTTGGGCACAAACACATATGTGCCTGGTGTGAATTTCAAGCTGCCGGGTCCAGGACTCAAACTACAGTTGGCCATGTGGAAATTCAGCACTTTAACCCTACGCCATCTGCTGGCCCCCACCCAGTTTTTATTGGAGGATATTGAGCTACAGCACAGTTAAATGACCTTAATTGCTAAACAGCTCCAGGCCCAAGACTCTTTCCTACCAAGAAAAGAGTAGAGGCCAGTGGGTGGCATGGGGAGTAAGATGTTGGACTCCCACATGGCTGATCACAGTTTGAATTCTGGACCCAGTAGCTTGAAAATCACACCAGACATGTGTGCATGCATGCCCAAAATCCCAGGAGGAAAATGGAGGAGAAGGGATTGAGGTGTAATCGACCCCCAGGGGGTGATGTCTCCCTTTCCCTCTCTTTGTCTCTCTCTGGGAAGCACACAGGCCCTATGGCAAAAACCTTAAAATAAATAAATAAAAAGAAAGGATAAAGCCAGGAATCAAACTCGGGATGCATAATTCATGGCTCAGAACTCTTCAGAACTCTTCTCTGTGTTCAGCACCCCTGGGTCACAAAGGCTTACCCCACGGCTAACCGCCATCCCTGTAGGTGCCCAGAGCTCTGAGTGCCCGGCCCTTTACCTGGGTTACCTGGGCAGGATGTAGGCCCTGTCATCATTCCCGTTTTATGGGCAAAGAAGAAAGGCACAGGGAGGCTGAGTAATTTGCCCAAGGAGACACAGTCCCTAGCTGGTGGAGCTGAACACCTCCCCGTGCTGACAGGCACTACCCAGGTGACATACGCACGTTTGCCAGTGCAGAGGAGAGGCCAAAGCAGTCAGAGGCATTGCTTGAGCAATGGCTGGCAGGATGCCCTGGTGTGGGTTAGGGGCCTCATGGTGGCTATGTCTCTTGCAGGTGTCCCAGATGACCTGGCCCTGGGCTTGGAGCTGAGCCGTCGTGAGCAGCAACCGTCAGTCACCTCTAGGTCTGGAGGCACCCAGGTCCGGCAGACCCCCATCTCGCGCCCCTCTGACAGCGACCTCTCTGAGGATGACGAGGACCTGCAGCTTGCCATGGCCTATAGCCTGTCAGAGATGGAGGCAGCTGGGAAGAAGCCGGCAGGTGGGCGGGGGGTGCAGCGACAGCAGCAGGGGCGACCTAAGGCCCAGCACCAGGATCTGGGCATGGGGGGGCCCCATGAGGGTGCAAGGGCTGAGGCAGCCAAACCCAGCACGTCCCCGGAGGAGAAGGCCTCCCGCTGCCTCATCCTCTGAATAGCGGGCCCAACCCAACCTGGTTCAGGTCTTGACTGGGGCTCGCTCACCCTGGGACGAGCAGAGAGGAATGTGGGCTGAGCTGCAGGAGCCCGTCTCCACCTGCACGCTCCCTCTGCAGGTTCCCCCAGACCCAGCCACACTCCAGGGTGGACTTGGGATTTGCTGTGCTCAGCAGAGGGCTGGTAGGTCCCTGGGTGAGGCCTAGGATGGGAGAGCCGCAGGGCCCTGGAAGGGCTTGAGGAGACAGATGCACTTAGTGGGTGGGGAGTTTTTGAAGGGTTAGGATGGGGCCTTCTGTGCCCTGGTCCTCTGCCACCTGTGTTGCCGATGGTGTCAAGGAAGGAGGACTTGGCCTGGGGTTTGCTGACCCGAGTTGGCTGCTACCCAGGGAGTGGTGAAGGCTGAGTGGAGTCTCCCGCTCTCCTGGCCAGCTGCAGACACCCCCAGCCTGGCGTCTGTGCCGGGCTGAGCTCTGACATCTCTGCTGCTTCCCTTCTGGTGCTGCTTCTCCTTCCTCCTGCTCTTCTCTTCGCAACTCCCTGCTGGCTGCATCGCTTGCTGTCACTGCCATCTGCTAGGACTCCCTTTTTCTTCCTTCTCCATGAAGGTCTCAGTGTGGCGAGGAAGATGCTGGGGCCATGAGGTCTTCTGGGGAGGTTAGCTGGGTGGGGTGGGAACCTCTCAGTGGTCCAGATTTGGAACTGGAGCCCAATCGTCCTCCCTTCTGCCTCAGCCTGCCCCCACCCTTGGGACTAGGCAGAGGTGATGCTGGCTAACACTGGAGAGGTGGGCTAGGGCCAGGGGGACCCTGGAGGAACCTAGGAGGGGACAGACCCTATGTGACTTCCCTACCATGCCTCAGGGCTCAAGGAGAGCCACACGGCTAGCCCAGATCTGCATGTGCCTCCATGGCTTGCCGCTGACCCTGTCTCCTGTCGCCCCGCCCCTGCTCTCTCCCCAGATGTATTCTGAGCTGGATGTCCAGGATCCAGAGTCGCTGCACACTTCCAACAGGACAGCGCCCTCCCCCATGCGCTGGGAGGGACCCTCCATTCCGCTCCCTCACCCATGCTGAGTGTAGAGCTGGGGCCTGGATGCTGGGAGGGGGCTGGATTGGGGCGGCAGTAGTCTTAGTCTGTAAAAATCTTCCCTGGATGTTTGGTGCTGTCTCTTGGGGACTACAAGTCCCAGAATGCAACGCACCTGGCCTCATTTCTGGTAGATCATGCTTGGAGGAAGAGGTGCGTGGTATGGAGCTGTGCCTCTTGGGACATGTAGTTTTGACCTAGACCTGTCACTTGCTGTGAGAAGGGGAAACCTTGACTTTCGATCTGTCCCTGGCAGGGGTGGTGAGAACGTGGATGAATGGGGAACGAATGGGGCCTTGGTTCCCCTTGACACCTCTTGCTAGCCCCAGGGTTAGAGTGGGCACGTCAAAGCCCTGTGGCGTCTGGGAGACATTCTTATCCTGTGGGCAGCCCCGGGTCTGTGGAACTAGCCGGGGCAGCAGCTGGAAGACTAAGCAGGGCATAGCCCAGGAGGCTGCTGGGCGTGGGCAGGGAGAGGGCTTCCCGGGGCAGGGGCGCGTGTGGCTGGGCCGGGGGTGTGATGTGACGGAGCGCTGGGCATGCTGCTGCTTGGATGGCTTTCTGTGGCCTCTGCCCATTCTTGCTGCACATTCTTTCTCTCTACCATCATCGATGAGCTGCCTCTCCTCCTCTCTGCCCAGGGAGCCCAGTGGCCGGGGAGGGGAGTGCAGGGGCCGGGTGTCCCAGCCACTGTAACACGGAGCCTCAGAGACCTATTGAAGCCAGTTGGGCTGAGCTCAGACCAAGGAGGAGACACTGGAAGGCAATAAAGCTGTTGAGAGAGCTTGAGGGTGTGCTGTGTTCCTGAGTTCTTCCCCGGGGTGGCCCCTGCAGGGACCCCGTGGATATAGTGATCCCTCAGGCCTCACCCTCTCAGGTGCACCCTTGCCAGATGATGGCTGAAGTCCCCGCTTTAGCCAGATTGCCCCCCCCCATGTATGTGTGCAACTCCACGAAATGCTTATGTTCTTTGCCCTCACCTTGGCCCACATCCAGCTTCCCATGGCGGCCAACGTCCCCTTAGAAGGGACCACCACCCAGTTCTCTGCAGCACAGCAAGGGCACCGCGAAAAGCAGGTAACGAGGGGAAACCTTTAAATTGGACCCCTCACCCTCAGACCTCCTTAGCTTGTAGTTGAAGGCCTGAGCCAGGGGCACATGGATCCTGACAATCCACTCTCCCTGGGTTTCCGGCCCCACACCCCTCAGGGTCCAGGGAGGAAAGAGGCAGACACCCCTCGCCCTCCCACCTCTGGCCATGGGACAAGCACCCTGGCTGCTGAGCTTCCCCATTGCCTCTCATCGCTTCCAGGGGAAGCTCTGGGCTCGCCCTCAGTAGCTGAAGGGCCAGCAATGTGTTCTTCTGAAAGCAAAGAAGCAGCCTGCCGGGAGCAGCAGTTAGCATAATGGCTATTTCACTGGACTCCCACGTAGTCGACCGCGGTTCGCGTCCCGGACCCGGTGGCTTAAACTCACACCGGGCGCGTGTGTGTGCGTGCCCAAGATCCCGAGAGGAGAATGGAGGAGAAGGGATTGCGGCGTGGCCATCCCCCATGGGGGGTGATTTCTCGCTTTCTATCTCTCTGTCTCTGTCTGTCTGGCGAGTGCATGCGCCCTATAGCAAAAACTTCTCCAAAAAAAAAGAAGCAGCGTGCCCTGAGAGAGGCTTTGAGGCTCTGTCCTGAGAGGAATGAGAGCGAGAGAGCTGGAAGTCTGCGTAACAGCTGTCTCCCCCGACTCCCAGCCTTTGAGCCCTGGCAGAGCACAGGTGAGAGGAGGGGGCCGCAGTCTGCCCCGGGGGCAGATGGTGCTCGCCCCCTTTACATTGAGGAGACAGCCTCAGCATAAGCGAGTCCTAGCTCCAAGTAGCTCCAGGCCCAGGGCTCTTTCCACCTCTGTCTGTAACCACCAGCTTGCTCCAAGGGCACCTCATGACAGACAAGTGAGGGGCCACAGAGTGAGAGTGGGGGCGGGACAGAAAGGGAGACTGTCTCTGAGCCCAGGCCGTGCCTGTTCTGGCATCTCCCAGGCCCGGCCTGGAGTCACTGTCAGAGGTTTGCTATGGTTTTGTCTCAGGCGTGGCAGGCATTGTATCTGTGTCACCTCGTGCAATCCTGACCTCAGTCCTGCCTGATGTCTGTCATCCCTGAGGCTGAGGGCACCAAGCAGCTGCTTAAGGAGAGGAAATAGTGACGGGGTAAGCTGCCTGCTTCGAATTCTGACTCGATAAGCTGCAAGGTGTGCTACCTTAGGCAAGCTCTGTGCCACTGGCTCCCCATCTGTGAAATGCGCACATCACTGGAGCCTTGTTGGGAAGGTGAAAAGAATGAATATATCAAAGCACCTCGGAGACTGCAAGCCACACAGGAAGCTCGGGGAAGGTGAAAAGAATGAATATATCAAAGCAGCCACACAGGAAGCTCAGGGGGTGCAGCGACTGCCTCCCTGTTCCTAGCTAAGAGAGCCTGACCCCACAGCCCGTGTGCAGCCCCCACACGCCACCTGACAGACATGGCAGGGCCTAGCAGCAGACCGAGGCTGGGCTGGAGTGTGGACGCGGAGCCGACAGGACAGTGCAGGAGGCCGGCTGCAGCTGCACAGACGACACACTAACTTTATTCACGCTGATACAAAAGTAGATTTTTCTAGAAATGTTCTCTTGTGCCAGAGGGAGACAGGCTGAGCAGCACATGGTGGGAAGAGGCCTGAGGGTGGTGGTGGGGGGGGAGGGCAGAGTGCCCGAGGCAGGGGTCAAGGGAGCAGGCCAGAGTGGCAGGGAAAGTGAGAGGAGCTGGGTCTGGCGACCCTCCCTGCTGTCCTGTCCACACTGGAAGGTGTGGGACACACAGACATGTCGGGAGCTTCCAGAGCCATGGCAGAGGGGGCCAGGAACTTGGGCAGAGGGAGGCCCTGGGCAGAACTGCTGCCCACGTCCTGTCCTCTCCTGGCCAGCTGCCAGCTCCCCAGGGGATGCCCTGAGCTCGGACATGCGTGAGGCTGGGCCATCCTTTCCCGCTTCCGTTTCCTTTCACTCTCCTCGTGGAAGGGCTGGGGATGCCTGAGAGGGGCCGTGGTGTGTTGGGGGGAGAAGGGGTGCACAGATAGATGCTCACGCAGGCTAAGAGGGCACAGAGGCTGGGCCGTCCACCAGTGCCCTGGGGGCGCTCACTGGGGCAGAGCCTTGAGGATGGCGTTCACCTCCTCTGCCACGGCTGTCAGGGCAAATTCAAACTGGTCCTGGGGAAGGGTGGTGACAGGTGGGTCACAGGGAGGCCTGGCCTCTGCTTCTGACCCAGAAGGACTTTTCGGGTAGAGGCCTGGGAGGCTGTAGGGCGGGTGCCTTGGGAGGAGGGTGAGGAGGTGCAGAGGCAGGTGGAAAAGGTATGATGCCCCCTGGGGTGGCCAAGTGGGTTCCAGGGCAGGGGACGGCAGTGGGGCGGGGAGGCACAGTCACCTTAGATCGGACAAGGCCAGGCCGCTGGTCACGGACGTGCTCCAGGGTGGCAGCGATGTCAATCTCCTTCACGCCTGGAGGTGGGGCGGGGCACGGACTGCTCAGGGTGTGTCCAGAGGACGGGACCCAGAGAGCCGGGGGTAGGAGACTGAGGGGGATGGCGCAGAGGGGTGTGACGACCTGACCCCCTGTGAGCCACCAGACAGGGGTGCCAGAGGGGTGCTCGAGAGACGAGACCCTAACCAGGGCCTGCGGGGGCATGCCTACCTTTTGCCATGCGGTTCAGGACCATGTCGATGAGGATGTAGGTGCCCGTCCTCCCTGCACCGTCACTGAAACGAATTGGCGACCCACTGAGCTCGGGGCTCAGCAGGATGGGCAGGACCTAGGAGGCTGGGAAGTTTGGGGTGGGAGGACACTGGCTGATCTGCTAGAGCTGGCTTCAGGGAGGGTGTGAGTCAGATGAGGGCCTGGTGACAACACCTGGGCCCTGGGGCTTGAATGGGGAACCTTGACCTTGGGGTGTCACCTGGATAATGGGACAATTGAACAGAAGCACGTGGCTCAGCCCTGGGGTGGAGGCCGCAGCAGGGGACCCATGGCCTCTCCACCCTGTGGCAGGCTTTTCCTGGGCCGACACTTGTGTGAAGGGCCCGATCCTTATGCCTTTGGGCCACTCACGGTCTGTCACATGCTTTTCTCTTTTTTTCAGTCAGCCATTTAACACTGCGAACTTAATTCTTAGTTCATAGATGATTAAACAGATGGTAAGCTGGACTCTGCCCCTGAGTGACAGTTTGCTGGTATCAAAGGGACAGGCAGGTGATGAACAGGTCACAGGGATTGGACCAGAGAGGGGAGCGGGACTCAGGAAGGCCCCATGGGACCCTCTGGCCTGGATCCTGTCCTCTTCCAGCCTCTTGGGGGCCCCAGCCCTACACCCACCTGCAGTGCACGATGATGGGGCAGGAGCGGCCACGGTAGCACTTGTTCACCTTCCTGCAACAAGACGTGGGCGTGAGGCCAGAGGGCGCCAGCGGGGCAAGGGGGCCGTAGCACAGGCCACGGCCTCTCCTGCTTCCTTTTCTCCTCCCCACGCTCAACGCAGAGGGAGGAGAAAGGGTTTGGGGCTGAGGAAGGTCTGGGGCTGGTGTGGGTGGCCCCAGGGCACTCTGTCACTGGTGCTGTGTGCCCTGGGACAACTGGTTTACCCTCTGTGAGCCACATTTTCTTCCCCTGAAAAATGGGGGGCTTCTCCTTAGGGTTCTTATGACGATTACGTGAGATGACCCATGGGGAGGATTCAGCGCAAGGTCGGCCCCCTCGGCACTCAATAAACGAGAGCAACGGTTGATGGTAATACTAAGCCAACAGCTCCCTCTGCCCGGAGTCTGAGAGATGGCCTTTCTGGGGATGGGGGGGTGTCATCTTGCCACATCCCTTCCCCACCTGTTCCCCTCTCCATTGGCTCAGAGTGGTCCTCTTCGGCTGCGATGCCAGGAAGGCCTGGACACAGCTGACCCGGGGAGGACCACCTCTCGATTCTGAGCATCTGCCCACCTGGGACAGCCTCCCTTTAGCTCCGCACTCTTTGGCTGGATTATGTAAAGACTTGGAGTCTGTGTGGACCTCAGTCCTTTCTGCTGCCCTTGACCACAGCTCAGCAGGGAGCAGGGGGTTTCTTTCTGCTTCAGTAGCCCCACCTGCCTGTGTCCCTCATGACCTTCTTGCTTTGAGAGGCACTATCTCTGAGCCAGGACCAGGGAGAACCTTCTCAGGGGTTATCAGATTATTTCAGAAGCATCTCTGGAATTTAGCGGTCCTCCAGCTAAGGGGTGAGGAGACTTTGAATGGTTTTACAGAGTCCACATGGTTTTCTAGCACATTGGCTGGTATAACAGAGGGCTGGGGTTGAAAAGGCCTCATGAGAGTGCTGTCCAACCATTCAATAATAATGATAATAAAGAATATCTAGGGGGCTGGTCCCATAGCCTAGTGTTAAGGGAACTGGCTCCCACATGGCCAACCTCATTTCAAATCCCATCTCTGGTGACTTGCAAAACCCACCTGGTGCACATGCCTGCCCCAAATCCCCGCAGGGTGCGTAACTGGGATGGTGGTGTGACCACACCCTACTGAATGTGCTTTCTCCCTGACTCTGTCTCTATTCGGCAAGTACAGGTGCCCTTTGGGAATCAAATAAGTAATGGGCCAGCAGGTGGCATAGTGGTTAAGACACTAGACTTCCACGTGGCTGACAGTGCTTTGAGTCCCGGACCCAGGACTTGAAACGGCAGCTTGAAACTTACACTGGGTGTATAGCATGCATGCCCCA